GTTTTACAAAACAACTTACGACTAAGACTAAATACTCTAGTTGTTTGTAAATTTGGCAGAATTGATGACTTTGATCAAAATTTCTAGCATAAGAATATTACATGTATCACCGAGCAAAATTAACATTTTTAGATTAAAATAACTTTTTAATATATTTACTAAATTTGGACGTTTATCTGTTAAATTCTGTATCTATTATCATTGCATGTCTGTTATTTAGTTGATTGAATATCATTCTCTTTGAAACTGGATTAAGACATTCCAATTGACTTTAAGTGACTGACAAAAGAATTGATACTCGTTAGGTGTAAATGCCTCAGGACCTGTTAGTCTAATATCAATAACTTTGTTTATATAATTATTTAGCAATGTCTTTTATGTCCATTCCATCAAAGAAACACACTTGTCTATCAATTAACTCAGCTAGTGTAATAATTCAATTACTGATTACTCTCTATCTTACAAAAAGCTATGTCCATTATACCTTTTTCAGTTTGGAGGCCCGATGCTCTACCGACCACATCCAACTCGTTTAAGACTTGTAAACTATTGTTAAAATTCATGTTGATTGTTATTTACCATCGTCTATAATAAATTCGGAAACCTGATTTTACCAGTTCTTGGACTGTATATTGGAAGACCATAAGGAATACGGCACCTTTCTCGTTTGCATTGTATTACGGCCCCACAGCGCCGCCACTGTATTAACCGCCAACATTCCTTCTTCCCCGTTTGCGCAAAACAACGGATATAGTCCAGGAATTACTTTTATAACTTATAACCCAAAATTATACCTGGTTATAATATCTTTCTGCATTCCTTTTAAAAAGAATAAAACCATTTTCAATTTAATGTAAAGAAGATGGGCGTGTTTGGCGTGTGATCTGCAGGAATCATGTGTACGAAACATTTATAGTTTAAATGTCCACGATTTGGTCGGCTGACCACAGCTGGACAGGCTTTACATATATAGCTACGCACATAGGAAAATGTTATATTTGGTTTGAAATAACATGTCAAATTGTAATATTTAGGTCCGCTTATCTTAATAATCAAACTTTAACATAGTAATGTTTCATATAAATAATAAACACCTACAAGATAATAAGGGTATAGTTAAATGCAATTACAAGTACATGTGTATATTAAAGCATTAGTAAGTTGGAAGAATTGCTTTCGCTCTCGGTGCAATAGAACCAGAATTTATCCATTTTAAAATAAATCGGTACAAAAAAATTAAACTGACAAAAGAATTGATTGCTTTCATTAAAAAAATATTAACGCTCCATGTGAGGATCGAACCAAAAATTTTTGTATCCATTGCACTGGACGGGTAACGCATATTACTGAGCTATCATCGCTACACATTCAACATGGCTTTTAAAACGACAATGAAGCACCGCATTTACACATTGGAATTCTTTGGGGGAAAAGTTCATTTTTTATGGTCTCTGGGTCTTCTCTCCATTTTTTACAAATGATTTTTTGTTTCTTTGAATTAGAATGCATACAAATAACATTTGAAAATCATGGAGAGATGACCCAGAGATAGCAAATTTTTAGAAAAACGTGTTTAAAAATGTGACATTTTGTACCAAATGAATCATCTAGCCTATTTTCAGATTATTTTTTAGCAAATCAAAATAAATTTCGGGAAAATATTTACCTTTCCGATTTCACAGGAACCCAAATGATCAAAAGAATGCTAAAATTTCGTGTGACAGATCAATAAATTTTTCACTTTTCAAGTGCGCCCAGATTCCTGCCGAATGCCAATCAAAAGCGCCCTCGTTCTTAGAAAGTTATAAGCAGAATAAAATTTTGGTCTTAGTCGTCAGTTCTTTTGTGAAACGGGCCCCAGGTTGGGGCTCGCGGGCGAAGCCACCGGAAGCTCCTGTAATATCATAATATCATATTTTTTTTATTATTGTAATTTTAATATATATAAAAAATGCTGAGTTTTTACAGAATTCACAAAATCTGTTTCTTCAAAGGTATTTCATCTTCAACAGTGAAATACTGCTAATCACACTTGTGTCATCCGTTGAATAAAACTGATATTTTCACAGGTGTTATTTTACAATCAGAAATGCAAAGTACTACGTGGCAGCACAAGTTCGCCTTTTATTAAAATCAATTTGCAAAAAATATCAAATCTGTCAAATGTTAACGTTCAAAATACCATTAAAGTTTAATTTTAACTAAAGTTGGCTATTTGTTCAAATTTACTGAACCCTTTATTTCATTTTTTTTTCATTTCAAATGCACGTTAATGTACCTTCATCGCAATATTGTTTGGAATAGTAATAGAGAGACAGTAATTAGAGAAAAGAAAAAAATAAAATAAAAAATATATAAACAGAAAAATCAATGTTTGATATGGAACACATTTCATAAGAGAGGTTTTTTAAAAAAATATTTATAATTTCAGGAGTGTATATCCCGGCAACATCAAACATCGAATGTCTGTTTAAAATGTTATAATTACATTTTCAAATATTGCATGATTAATTGTTTTTAAAATAAAGTACTCGTGCAAAGCAGTAATTTTTGTTTTTTAAATTACCAGGGGAATGAATAGTTTATATAATTGCTCTTTTAAGTTTTTAGGGGAAAAAAATGTCCTTGAAAAGCCATTAGGCTAAAAAGCTGAAAATTTTATGGTTAATATGTGTGAATAAAATATACCTGGAAAGCTCAAGTCTTTTTCTTTTCAAATTTCAAATATATATATATATATATATATATATATATATATATATATATATATATATATATATATATATATATATATATATATATATATATATATATATATATATATATATATATATATATATATATATATATATATATATTTATATATATATATATATATATATTTATATATATATATATATATCCTTTTACTTTTCTCTCAAATTGAACTTTCGAAATCATCTACATGTACAAGATACAAGTATGTACATTCATTTCCGTTGTTGCGTGGATCGACACACCTTTTTCCTATTTTTGTATTCTATGCACTATATGTTATCGATAATGTAATCCTTTTGTCTCAATTAGCTGTTTTTAAATATATCATTTTCGACCAGGGACCTATATACTAACCATCCCTGTTTCAACTGATTGTCTGACGTCATGGCGTCAGACAGTACTAGATTTAGCCAAGGCTTGTTGGTCAAGTCGTTCAATAGAATTTTTGTGTTAGCTTGATCACGGAAACTTCATACTGAAGAGCATGAGGAGTAAAAGAAACATGCTTAACACCCAAACAAACCAGAGCATTAGAGCTGGTGTCATTATTATCACATTATACATTACAGGTTAGATAACATTTGGCCATTCTCGAATGCATCATTCATGTCCTGCAAAACAGAAGGAATGAAGCTGGTCAGGTCAACACTTGTCCATTATCTTTATCAGATTAACTAATGGATGTTTATTTTCAATGCATACTAAGTCTCTCTACCTTTAGAACTTTTATAAAATAACTTGCAGACGTTTGATTTATTCATGGTTAAAAAATATCACAGTGAAGGATAGATGTTGAATATTCTTTTGCTTAAATGCAAAGATGTTAGCTCATTTGTAACACGTTTTTATATATATATATATATATATATATAAAACATTTCTTAATTATCAAAATTATTCACCAATTGATGTTAAAATTTTTATGTGTTAAATTGTAGCTTTTTTATTCAAAATCACTAGATATATTTTTGTATCCCTGAACAGGCCCGTTGGAAGAAATTTAGAAATTTTCAGTTTAGGGTGGACACTGTCGAGGAAAAATTCCTTATAGAGCATAAAAATGTTATCGGAAGTTAATATTTACATGATTTAGGGGACACAAGTATAAAATTAATAGCTATATATGTATAAATCGGCAATATTGTTGGGGGCACGGTCCCCAACATACCCCCCCCCCCCTTTCGGTTCTTAAGTCCATGAAAAAAGAAATGACAAGTAATATAGTGTATATAGAATAAATTCATGTCCAAGTTTTATTTTAAGTTGATGCCACTGAATTGAACTTTTTTTGTTTCTTAGCAAAAGAATTCATTTCATTACTCAGAGTCATGTTGTTAACACTGGGTTTAGCTTTTCCTTAATTCTTCGCGTAAAAATAAAGAAGAGGGTACGGTTTTGGCTTAATTGTGCCCTAAAAATTTAATGTTTTCAAAAAGTTTTGAAATTGACATAAACATGAGTTGAGTATATGAGCGTTATAATTCATGAAAGAATATGGCATGAAGGAGGACCATTCTGCAAAGATGGCGTCATTAATTTCGTATTTTTCTAGGTTTTAAGCAGAAAAGGGCTCAAAATGACTCATTTCAGTGGGTATTTTCCTTGAGAAAATAGTGTCCACAGCCGTCGCCCACTTTGATATTCTGATATGTTGAGTAAAAATTCTTTGACAAATCATATTTCTCAAAATCTTTGTGGGCGATGCATGTGGTCTATATTATCTGAAAGAAAATTTCACTGAAAATTGATGTCTTCTGCAACTTTTTAAGAAAATACGGGAAAATGCACAAGTTTATGACGTCATAATTAGCACTAGGAAGTCAAATGAGAAAAACGATTTGTTTGATCATAGTGCATGGAGTTTCAACATTTCAGAAAGCATGAATTTTAATTTCTTTCATCACTTTCATATTTTAGAAAAATACAGGGATAGATTTGTATTGAAACTGCACATTGTTCTTTGCTCAAGTCAGACAAGCTTTTTAGGAAAGCTAATACTTGTACACCTTCTCTCTTTTTTTCCCGCGAAAAACTGAGGAGACCCAGTCAAGTCATTCCGATAATATTTCACTACAAATTTTATCCATTTGATTTATCCAAAAAATTGTTGTATGTTTATAAATCTTATTCAATATCATATTCTTACGGTTTAATGTATAATTAGAAATAATGAAAATCTTTTGGGAAGAATTTTATAGTTTTTTAATCTTCTGTGCAGAGAAGGTAAAATTGTCCTGTTACTAGTAAAAACAACATGGCGTCCGTATGGATCGAGAAATTGAAAACAGCACAGAAAACGTGCATGATACAAGATGGTAAAGAATAAATATAGATTTTAAAAGTCTTGCTACTAAGCTAAATAAAATTGGTTCAAGCTGAATGTCTTATTTACACTGTCATGTGACTATATAGATTCCTCTGTATCTTTTTGTTAGACATTTTATTCGCCATGTTAATCTGTTAGGGAAAAACATTTTAACTGAAGAGCTCAGTTTACTCGTGCCATGTCTTGTCTTTCTCATGTATCTCTCGGCTCTCAGGCAACATATCGGAATAGAGAGCAGAACCTCAACTGGTTTGACAAGAAACTTCATATTTAAACAGGTCCAGTCGGAAGACTATTTCTACCTACATGTATGTAGCTGTTAATAGCTACCTAGGTATTTAAACATACTTGTAGTAGCTACTTCTACATACTTCAACCTGTCTTTGAAAATTGAAATAATTAATAATTAAGGTGCATCCTTAAAACAGGTCAAAATGTATTGTTTATCATGTGCAATTGCAGAGCAAAATTCGGGATATTAATTTGAAAACTTTACGAGGGTGGAAAATGGAGAGCAGATGCAAGAAAAATCGCCCCAAAAATCTTTTATATAAAAATACATGAATGTAAATATAAAAATTAGTACAAATTACAGATTTGTAAGACATTTGATGCTTCTTATCATGTAGCTTTGATCTTTATCTCCTGGAAAATGAAACTGGGTGTAGTTATTGAAGCAAAAGAGCTAATTAAGAAAGTAATCTTTTTGGCCAAAATTTTCATCATATTCATCGACAGTGTGACTGTATTAAGAAATCTGGTATTCACCATATTGTGCCATTCCCCCTTTTGGCCACAAAATGCAAGTAAAGCAAAAAGTAGGTAAAAATAGCTACCTGGACTAGGTTAGATACCTAGGTAGCTATAACTAGTTACGTAGGTAGAAATAGTCTTTGGACTGGACCTGTTTAAGATGAAAAGTTCTGAAAACTACATTTCTTTTTTGATATTTTTAGGAAGGAGAAAAATTCATTTCGTATTTCCAGATGGAACAGAAATGGCAGAAGAATATGACTTGAAAACATCAGAACTTGTTTGTATGTACTATTACAAAATTAGATTTCCATTGGGTCTCTTAAAATCTTTTTTGTCAAATGATTGATTACTGGAAATCATTTGGTATGAAAAAATTTTCAAAGAAAATTTTCTTTGTAATAAGTGGCATAGTGGGGAAAAATGCCTTAATATATATGTGTCACAAAAGTCAAAGAGGATTAATTCATGTTTCAACTATAATGACAGTATTATAATTATTCTTTTAATTTTCATTTTAATGGATTTTTACAGAATTGTTAACTTTCAAAAAGACGCAGAGAATTATGGCATGTAAATTTATTTAACTTATTATATACATGTAATTGTAACTTTGTTGTAGCTAGAAAATGGAGAAGAAAAGCAACACTAGGGGTAAAAGAGTCAAAATGGGAATTTGAAGTCGGAGAGCAGCTGGTTCCAAGAAATTTAGACTCTGAGGGCTTGTTGGAGAGTGCTGCCAATGTAAGTAATTAACAATGTGATAAACAGCAATGGTCTTTCAGCACTAATGCTCTCATGCACATATGTTTAAACAGTCTAATGCTCTTGAGAAATAGTAATATAATAGTCTCTCTCTCTCTCTCTCTCTCTCTCTCTCTCTCTCTCTCTCTCTCATGTACATGTTTACATAATTTAATTGATTTATGAAATAAAGGAAAATTAAGCTGATCAATTTTGCTACAACTTAATTAACTTTAACTGCTCAATCTTTATAGAATCTTGTTCTCATAGTTTATACAATTCTTTTTATAGTGACTTCAATTGCATCAAAATAATATTTGGATGATATTATATTCTTTTTTAGTTTAATAATTCCTTATTTAGCAGTATTGCTTCTGCTGGTGAAACTTAAATTTTTTCTAAAAAAAAGTTATAATTTCCTTTGTGTTACAAACATGTACAATAAAACTTGCTTAGTATGAACATGGATATAGCGAATTTACCGATATAGCGAAGGGTCCCAGGCAAAATTCTTTGTAAAATTTTACGGTTATAATGAACTCTGATATAAGGAATTTACGGATTTAGCGAACTGATTTTGAGTCCCGTAGTGTGAAAACAATAATGAAATTTACATCTTTTAAAACGAATTATTAAAGATCTCAAAATTTCATATATTGAACTGACTTTATTTTAAGTAAGTATTTGTATATAGAATTCGATTTATAATAAAACCTTAGTTATTCAAGGTATGTTTTTTAATAATTGCTTCCCTTAGATATACGGCAGTAATACATCAAGGAACACATGTATTTTGCGAATTTGCTATATATAGTTATACGAATTCGCTATACAGATATAATGAATTACGGATATAATTGATATGAATTAAATTCACAGGTCCCCAAGACTTCGCTATAACAGAGTTTTATTGTACATGTACTTCCAAATAAACCTATATATACACTAACTGTCTCAGATTTGACTCAATTTTGAAATGAATACATGAAAAAGAAACTTTTACCTTCATTTTGACCCTTTTGATTTTTAGATATTTAATATTTTTTCTTTTGTAGCCAATTTTTGCCAGAAAAGACACAGCTTCATCGTTTCAGTGGAGAATTAGAAACTTACCATACCCAATAGAGACGTACAATGTAACTGTTGATCCTGAGAATCGGACAATCACTGTTAGAACCACAAATAAAAAGTAAGTGCTTACTTTCAAACGATGAAAAGACAATATAAAAATTATAGTAAACAAGAAATGTATGACGTCCTGTATGATTAAGACACTTTGTAAGAAAGATATTATTTATTACCCACAAAACCTGCATTTTGTGTTGAAACTTGTATATGATGGAAATTTAAATACAGTGCATTATAATCATCTCATGTTTCGTTGTGCCACTTTTTTTTTAATACACATACATGTCATGTATGTGTAATTAAAAAAAAGTGGCACAACGAATGATGTATAACTATTGGACACAAATAATTATATTGCAAATTTTAAGACTCATAAAAATTGAATTGTAAACAGCTGCAGAAGCAGTAAATGAAAATTATTGTCGATTGAAAACTTTATTGTATAAAAGAGAGAATTTATCACTGTAGAATATATTTGCAGATATTTTAAGAAGTTTCCTATACCAGATATGGACAGAGCACAACTACCTCTGGAACAGAAAGCATTGAGTATAGCGCACGCCAATAATACTCTTATAATTACAGTAAGTTTCTATGAGTATGGCACACGCCAATAAACTCTTATCATTACAGTAAGTTTCTCTGGAACAGAAAGCGATGAGTATAGCACATGCCAATAATACTCTTATAATTACAGTAAGTTTCTATGAGTATAGCACGGTGTGTTCCTGGTTTGCACACATTCGATAATTAGGTATAGAACAATAGGTGTGAAATATGTTGTGATAGCAATTTTAGTCTGATCCCCGTCTGGGATTTACCTGGAATTACCTGTATTTTACCAATGCTTTATAATATATATTTCAAAGAATAAATTTTGAAAATTTATTTGTCCAACCCAAATGAAGATGAAGTTGATAATTTAGAGAAATATCCTTACATGTGTACCGCAGTTCCACCTGTTTTTTTTTATTTCATAAAGATAAAATGAATTAGTAAATGAATTCAATCTTGATTAATAAACAGAGAGAGAGAGAAAGATCATATGAATATAATTATAGTTTTAACTAGTAATTTTTGATATTTTGATATTTTTAATGTTTTGATGTAGTTTTTTCTTTTGAAATTACAGAAATAAATCAAAATGTCAAATGCAAAATTAATTCATTTTTCTTCCTATTCTTTCCATAGAATCTCTTTCTCCAAATTCAAAACTATGATATACATGTAGACTTTAGCAATTTTAAAAGTTATTATCTTACCTGGACAATTCCTATTTAATTTGCACACAATTTTCTCAATACCTGAAATTCAAATGTGTGCAAAATGAGAACAAACTGTATAGCACATGCCAATTATACTCTTATAATTACAGTAAGTTTCTCTGGAAAAGAAAGCGTCGAGTATGTTTCTATTGTATTTATGTAAGTATAGGTTAACAGTGTTTTCCCTAAGAACCGGCTACCAGCCAAATTGACTGCTTCAATTGATAAAAATGACACTTAGAAATCAAAAATTTAAATTAAAAATGATTGTTGTAAGGTCATAAATCTCAGCCCCTAGTCTGTTACAATTGATCTCTTACCCCTTACTTTGAAATAAAGGGAAAACACTGGGTTAAATAATTACAGAATTCTGTTCAGTTGTTTAGAGTAATAGTCGCACGTATTATTTTAATATTTACTAGGCGAAATCATAAGAGTTTAAGCTGTGATAGAGCTTTTATGTATCTGCAAATCTGTAGCTCACTGGTATGAATAATTGGGATGGTTGTCCATCTAATTATTTTTTTTTTGACCAATGAGCTACAGATTCAAAATTATGATATAGTTTTGCTAATTATTATAAAAGAGCAAATTCTAGAAATTCTTAATAATTTATGCAAGGAGGACTCATCATATACACATTGACGATAAATTTGAAAATTTCTGTTTCACAAAATAATTCAAATAGTCCTGTGATAATGTGCCAAAGGAAATATTGCAGTGAATTTTAAACCACTATACAGCATTTAAAAGTACCTGATGTGGTTCATACGTACATTTAGATAATATTCATCATTCATTTAAAAATATGGAACATTTGTCAATTTTCACAAGCTGAAATATTCAAATTTGAAACACATATTAAACAGACATGAACATACATTATGTTTATCTATTGTGTAAAGTACTTTATGTAAATTGAAGTGAAAGAAATTGGATTATGGAGAGGTTTGTGTTTGGGGGGTGTAATTACCCCCATGAACGAGGAATTCCCAGTAAGTGCGAGTGTATATTAACATATTTATGCATTACACTGCAATGTCCTTTTTGTAGTACAAGAAGCCTAAGGAAATTCTACAGATGGAAAAAGAGATCCAAGAAGAATTCAAGAAGTTAAAGGCTGCAAAAGATGGTGATGTAGACTGCACACCTAGTTGATCAAATTATTCCTAGGCCAAAGGTCAACTTCCGAGTCATGTGATCTCAGAAAATCTGTGATGCTAAGCAACTGCTGATGACAGAAATAATTTTTTAAAAAACTGAGACGAGTACGTTTCGGATAATTGACTTGTGTTAGATTGACAATCTCTTATCTATCACAATCAATAGAATTGCAGGCAAAGCTTACTCAATAAAAAAGATGGAATATATATAGATATCTTTTTCTTGGTCATGGTCTATTTGAGCAACAGAAAATCTAATTCTGTATATCTTTTATGTAGAACTGTAAGTTTAATAAAATTTGAACAAATTCATCTATGAAGACAAGTTTTACTGTAGATGTCTTCAGTACTTCTGAGAGGAAAGAAATAAATGAAATGTTAAATGTCCGAAGACCGAAGGTCCTGTGTGTTATACTTGCAAGTAACATTATCTGTGGTGTTAGTGAAACAAGCACAAGACAATGTCTTTTGATTTTACTGATCCAGATATAAAATGGTATCTGATCATTGATCATAATACATAGCAGTGTCTTGTGTGCAAGTTATTTTGATTTTAGAAAATGTCAGGTGTGTTGAAATCTTGTAAAATATGAGAATAAAATGAGTGGAATATTCCCAGAAATGATGATGTGATTCAGGTATAGTGATTCTAGTACAAGTCAGTGTAAGGGGAAGGGGGTGGCCTGGAGTCCCCTTTTGTGACCCAAATTTTAGTAAGGATGAATAAATCAATATTTTGTTGTTAGGTATTGCTTTTACATGCATTTAATATAGTTAGAGTAACACACAAAACTGTTCCAAAAAGACCTAAAACCTATAAGCTAATTAAGTTTCCAAGAGCTTTGCCCTCCACCCCACCAAGGCTTCACCCTGGACCTACTAGGGACCTTAATATGGCCCCATCTGTCCCCCTTAAAAGATCCTGGATCTGCCACTGTTAGTGATCCTGGTGTGAGGCGGTGTCTGTTGTTTATGAGTGATATAAGGCAGTGTCTGTTGTTTGTGAGTGATATAAGGCAGTGTCTGTTGTTCATGATTGAAATAAAGGCAGTGTCTGTTAATTATGAGTGATATAAGGCAATGTCTGTTGTTTATGAGTGATATAAGGCAGTGTCTGTTGTTCATGAGTGATATAAGGCAGTGTCTGTTGTTCAAGAGTATATATGGCAGTGACCATTGTATTTCTGGTCCTAGTGGAAAGCAAGATGATCCTGATACATGTCCATCTGTAATAAGAGAGAAGAAAATGACCAAAACGGGATTCGAACTCCAGCCCCCCTAAATTTGTCAGGTGCTCTACCAAATGAGCTATCTGACCACCAGCAATTGAACACATTTGACCGCCACATTCCTCCTGAAAAGTCTTCAGACACCAGCCCAGGCTCTTCCCTGGCAGGTCTTTCACCTACCAATTCCAGGGCATGGTAAGGATCCAAATGTAACCAGAGAGGAAAAAAATGTGACAACCAGACTGGGATTTGAACTCCGACCCCCCTAAATCTCCAGTCAGGTGCTCTACCAACTGAGCTATCAGGCCATCGGCGATTGAACCCGTCTGACGGCCACACACCTAATATCTCATGTGTTGATAGTTCAGAAAAACCAATGTCTGTTGTACCATAGTGATTATAAATCAATGCTTAGTTTAGTTTGTTAGCCATTCTAATATTAATCAAGTGTGTTGGTAATTCTGATGAGTAATGTTTCAGTGATTATGAGTTCATATGAGGCAGTAATTAGTGTTTTAGTTAACCCATTTGTGGCCCCCACCTAAGCCCAGCAGGCTGATTTCATAAAAATATGGGAATGTCTGAATTTATATGACCTTGTACTTCTTTGAGAAAAATGGTTCTGTGCAGACACTACCATATCTGTAGCACAATATCATGTTTAGTCAAATTGTCATATTCAAGCCATAATCAATAAGGAGGCTCAAATGGAGAACAAATTTTAAGATCAATAATTGATAATAGATATCTCTGACTATTGGCGTTGATGGATAAAATACTAATGTTTGTATTTATGACAACCTCTTACAAAATTAAAATCTTTATTGTTTTTACATATATTAGAGTCTTTCAATAGACATGTGTGTATATAAAACAAAATATAAAAAAGACATGAACAAAGGAATTACTCAGATACAGCAGATAAAATATTTTCGTTATATGTCTACAGAAAATACATCAGTTTGAACCATTCTTATGTTTAATGTGTGAAAAGTCTGTAAGATATTCCAGCGACAGGAATGAGTAGACAACCGTGTTCGTGAGGCTTGGTATCACGTCAATCACAGCCTCATTATGAATAAATCCGTACATCAGCTGGACAGGGCGTGCCACCATGATCCCGACACCCATATAGAACAGGACTATCTGTACAGCGTAGTTCATTTTATGACAGCGACTACAGAATGTGTTGGAATTGGCACAGGATTTTAGAATGTTAATGTTCCAAAATGAGATTCCTGAAAAAAAAAACACAAAACATATTAAAACATTCATGTATATCCAAAATATTTGATTTTTTGAAGATGGTAATTAGAAGGAAAACGATCCCCTGCTCTCTATATGGATGATTTTAAACAAAATCGGAAATAAAAAATAAAGAAATTCAAGCAAATTTAGTTTACAGTTCTGAACAAAATTTTAGATAAATGGTAGCTGAAGATGAAAACTTTTGAAAAAGAGACATTTATTTATTAACTTAAAGGTTACTGACTTTCTAACAAGAGAGATAACTCTCACACAATAAACTGTCAACTTAAATTAATGATTAATTATTACATACCTTTTGGAAGATCATTCATATTAAAATTAGGGATGAAGAACCTTAAAAGTAATGCCTTTATTGCTAGGTCATTCCATCTTAAATGTAACCAGAAATGTGAAAATGAGTGTATACCTGTGTCATTGGTAGAGTTTATTGTAGCAATCCAGAAGTACAATGATGCAAGTGGGAGATAAAACACAACATACTCCATCACAGTGTATAAACAATTTCTAACCACGTCATTCCTACATACGGTAAAATAAACTTGTACATCAGTTGTCAAATTCATGGATGCTATCTGTTCCCGAGATTTTGCAGGATTTTGCCATATAAGAAGAGAAACAGATAATAGTGAATGTAAAATCACAACCCTTTTGATGAGTTTTTTATAAGGTATTAAAGTTCCAGTTGAGATGACATATTTTGTAATGATGGTAAAAAATATTGCATTGGCAATTAACGTTGGTACATAAAAGTCCCGACATCCATCGTCCTTAGGTCGAAGACTTTCAATCTGCATTAAACGCTTAAAATATCCTAGGACAGAGGCGCAGTACAATTCATGTACCAGACCAGTTGTGACTATGACTACGGTTATCACCGTGTGTTTACAATTGTCTAGCATCAGAAATAACAACACCAGGAACCCTGCTGAGAGTGTCCCGAACAACACCAAGGACTGCAGAATCTCCACCACAAAGAACGTCAACTCCATCTTTGATGATTTGTCCTCCTATTCATTCCATTTGTTGTTTTTTCTGAAGTTGTCTGCTTTTCTGCTAGAAATAGAAGAACAATGCTTGAAAAGTCACTGGAGTAAGAAATTCAGGATATTTTCATTAAGTTTATGGACTTTTGTGGTGGCTAACAAACAAGATGACTTAGTAAGTCTAGTAGCCTTCAGATCATAGAAAATGTTGTATGCATTGAGACTAAAGTTTGTGAAATTTATCCAACTTTTTCAGGGCTAAAACTTTATGATGCCAATGGTAAAAGCATGCATCTCCATTTACAGTTCAGTCACATTCAAGTTTTAGCCTACACATAGTCCATACTACCAATGAAATTGTATTAATTAGACACAGGCCTTATATATAACTTACGTCACTATCATATTTTAAAACTGTAAATGTGTACATAAATTATTGCATGTGATCATGAATAAGTACATTTAGAGGAAAGCTTTTATGTACATTTGTTTTTATCCAATGATAAGCTCATGTACTTGAATTAGTGGACAAATTTGGACTGTCTCAGGAGAGGTCCGGGTCCTTGGTTCACAAATAATAGACCGTTTCATAATAATTGGGGTAATAACAGGTCCAGTACAATCAGTACATTTAGCTACGTAGCTAAAATTACCTACCGTAGCTTTATTTACCTATCTCAGGTAGCTTTATTTAGCTATTTCAAGGCAATTTTTCACAACTTTGCCTTTTATTTTAAAAAGACAAAAAATCGCAAATAAATGACTACTAATATTTATACTAGGGATTATTTAAAAACCAATCCAAAGCAGAAATAGTTTTAACATTGCTGCGTTTGAACACTTTTAAGGAAAAGATGTATTTCCATTGTTTGAGTAACTGTACACCACCTTGTGTGCGATGAGGCGTGGATAAGTATGATTGCTTCTCCTTGTGCTCATGTTAACCAGAACTGGTTTTCTTTGTTATTAATCATTCAAGAAGTAACTGTTTGGTCACAAATTAACTGTTGTATATAGCCTCAAAACTTCTAGAACTTTGATTGATATTGCGCAGAAAAAGACACATCTCCAAGAGTGATTTTTTCATGAATTGTTTTCCGATGAGTGCAATTTTCTGCACTTTCTGGGGAAAATGCTAATTTAAGAAATAAATTTAATTTAGTACCTAAATAAAGCTACTTCAGGTAGGTAAATAAAGCTATGTAGGTAATTCAAGCTACGTAGCTAAATCTAGTGATTGTAGCAGACCTGTTAAAAACATAAGACCCTCTATCTGTCTATATAGAGGGGTAGGATTATTTGCTGGTAAAAATTCTGGTGTCTGTGATGTAGAAATCTAAGGGCTTATTTTCAAATCCCATCAATTTGTTAAAAATATCATTACAATATATACAAATTTAGGCACAATACATATTTGCAGCAAATACCTGACAGAATATTATTTCATTTTTTTCATGAATTAGTAGAGGCTACGTTCTACTTTTATTTTCAGGGATCGGTTTCCCGGTAACTTTCAGATCCAAGTATTTCGGTCCGTCCTTACAATTCTTGTGTGGTAAAATACCATTATCAATATTTTGTTCATGCTTTCAACATACTCATTTGATGACAGATAAAAGACATAAAACGAGATCTTATACCATTATTCATTTATTGATTTGTAGCAACAAATTGTAATTGAAAAATTAATGAGACCAGAATTAACGAGAGACGATATTGGAGAGGCACCCCCAAAAAAGACGTGTTCTCAAATCATAAGAGAACCAGTTTTATGCACAATGGAGAAAAAAGAATCAAGTAAGCATTCACGTTTCTTTAAACTAAACTCACAAAGATGTACTTTATGTAATGGATTATGTGATTTTTGTTATTAACCAACTGAAACATTGCATTAAAATGAATATATTACACAAATCGAGATGTATGTCTCCCACTCCTCGAGGAAATTCGAAAGTGTTATGCTTCAATTGAGGTGTAAAATGTTATTTTATAGTTTGTGATACTTAAAATAGCGGAGCAGTGTAATTTAATGTAAATGTTCAGAATTTGAGAATATGTTGAAGCTGAAATTCCTCATTTGTACAAGTAAGAAGTTAAATTGAAATAAAACCACAGATTGATTGGTAAATATCTACAATACTATACCATATATACAATTATGAACTCTTTTGGTGGTGAATATGATTCACCACTGAGTCCATAATCGTTTTATTATATGGTCCGCTGGATTTTAATAAATAAGACATTGAAGGCTGCATGACGACACCATTAAATAAAACAAACTTCTGTCGTAGAAAGTTTTAAAATGTCCAGATTGTAAGTATAACTTTTGTGTAGTGCATCTTCTGTGATGAATTATTTAATAACCCATATTTGGTGATTGTTTCATTACCTATAATAATGCATTTTATCATCCTTGATATATAACATAAACATTTTGTGTTTTCAACATTAAGCTGGATTTGGTAACTCTCAGTCTGCAAAAATGTTCTTCATTTTGTGATTTCAACATTAAGCTGGATTTGGCAACACTCAGTATGCAAAAATGTTCTTCTGGTATGTTATATGTCACATATTTTGTACAGGTAGAATAAAAGACCTCCAACAGAAGCGAGTGCTAGATGATGCTGCCCGTAGGAGAAGACAGAGGAAAGCCTTAGAGGCCTTGGAACAGGACAATTTTCAGGATGACCCTCATGCTGACCTGAAAATGAGTAAAAAAGCTCCCAAATTTGAGGAGTCGATGGAATCACCAGGTAAATTTCTACCAATGCAAAAAATGATACCATTCCTGATGTTGATGAAACCTTTAAGTCACTAAATGAGAATTTAGCTCCCTCAAATTTGGGAACTAGCATTAAGCTTTGGACAATTCAAATAGTTTATCTCAGGGACAGTCAGACATATTGTTTTAATTTTTTTTTTTAACTAGTACAACACCTTAGTGAAATACAAAATATTTACATCCACTGAATATTATTTCCTTTATTTCTTATGAAAACCATTGCCATTTATCAGTCAGTAAACACCACTAACTGGCCACCTGCATAGATTTCTTAAGCAACAGCTCTTCCATCAATGATGCATACAAAGACATACACATCTATAATACATTCTACTACAGTTATTGCCGAAATCAAAGAAATGCGGTGGACATTATTCTCCAATAAATCACAAACGTCATAAAAAAACTATCAGATCAAAAACACATATCAAACCTGTACAGTTGAAATGAATATTTCACTATAGAATCTACATGTAATACTTATTAAGACCATACCCATGTGTCATCTTCCGCAGTCTAAAGAGTGTGCATTCCTAAAACAGCTGATAAATGTCGGTTTTTATAGCTAAATTGGGCTGTTCCACGGACCTTCCTACAACATTTACACTCCGTGATTTTACTGATAAAGCAATGAAATAGACAACTGATTTTGTTATTTTACATTTAATGAAATTAATCAATTTATGTTACAATCAAAATTTATTAATAATTAAAGGATATTTTTAACAAAAGCTCAAATTGTCTGCTTTCTATGCAATCAATACACAAGTAACTAACAAATCGACCCTTTGGTTTAAATGGAACAGTGTAAGTGCGACATGTAGACCGCTGTAATTCATTTCTCTATAGAGAAAACGAGCAGCCATATTTTAGAGCTGTTAGTAGAATAGAAATAAAGTCCTTGTTGTTGTGAATGATGCAGGATAACCTCCTCTGTCTTGAAATCTTGTTTGAAATATAAAAGCTTTGGCTAACGCCTCCGCTTTTATATTTCAAACAACATTTCTTGAACTCAGAGGATTATCCTGCAACATTCATGAAAAGGCAGACTTTTATTTCTTAAATATTTAATTTTACTTATTTAATTTTACATATTTAATTTTACTTATGCAGGTTATGTATTTTTTCAGCAACAGCTGCGACATTAATTCCCGTACTAACAACCAAAGAAAGCATTTTATTGTTTAGATAAATAATAATCATTTAGTGGTTGAATAAATGCATAAATTATGCATTGCAGTAGAATCAGTATTCTAGTAAAGTTCTTTGTTGAACGTGTTCGATTACTAAACTTATGCCATAATTCATCTATGTTTGTAGCACCAACAGGAAAGAAAAAGCGTAAAAGTAAAGCAGACAATTTCAAATTTCGCTACAAGAAAAGTTTTGCTGCATTACTTGAAGAGGAGGTAATTTCTAGAGAGTTCAAAGAATTTTCTTCAATTATCTGTATAGGAAATTTGTTAATACAGTGAAACTTGTCTAATTCAGATGTTGTATAAACCAAAATATTGTCTATTACCATGATTACAATGAAAACCTTTAGTGACTTTAAGTATTATTTTGAATTTTATAAATGTTGTGTTATCCATCCTTTTTCTATGGAACCAGTGGTGTCCAGATTAGACAAGTTTCACTGAATATGCAATAAATTGATTTCATTAATATAATTCATAGAAAATCAATATCTTAAGTAATTTTACCCAGATGTAGGGAATAATTTTTTATGCATTTTATTATTTCATGTGTCACTAATATTTATAGGAATATCTGATATTTGACTTTGTAATTTTCATAACCTTTTCACTACAGCACATGATGAACAAAGATCCCCCAAACTACAACACAGCTGGGGTTCCACCATCACGTTTCCCTGACAGGAAATTCTGTGCTGTTTGTGGATATCCTTTAATGTTAAATCTGTTTTTATGCTTAGAACATCTGAATCAGTACAAAGAAAATAAGGCATTTCATGAAGACTATATTCATTTCATCCATGTGAATTTCACATGAAAAGCGTAGATGAAACTTATGTGAAATAGTTTCCATGGAATTGAAGTGAAATTCATGTGAAATTCAAGAATATACAAGTACATTTCATCCATGTGAAATTTCATGTGAAAAGAATGCTTAAATGAAAAAGTTTCACAGAAAATTAAAGTGAAATTCATGAGAAACTTTAACATGGAATTCACTTGAGGCACTTTTAGTTGATGGTTGATATTATGAGGATCTTTCAGTGGGATACATACAATGCAAATATTGTCCATCTAGGTCAGTTTTTATTTGAAAGATAAAATTTTCAGGTATGACATAATTGTGTAACTATGGAAATTTTATGTTTATATCAAATTGCATTTTTTAATCTTCTAGTTTTCACTAGACATATTTGCTAACAATCATTAAAGATGTTTTATTTGACTGCTTGCTTTAAAAAATTCAAGAGGCTACGAGTTTTTCAATGATGTATGGCAGCTCTTTTTAGTAATATCATCCTGAAAATCAAGCAAACATTGTGGGTAGTGGGTACTGTACATAATATTTTCAGTTGAGGCAAGGTGCTGTTGTGTTAGGTATGGTAATATGACATACATTGAATTTTTCCTTAACAGTCTAACTTTTCCTTCTAATTACACCTGTGTGCAGTGCGGGGCAAGGTACTGTTGTGTCAGGTGTCTCGGCACACATCAGGATACAAGGTACAAAGCCATACTATATATTATTGTCTAATTCTCAACTTTTTTAAAACAAAATTTTTATCACTTTGAATTGGTTTTAATTTGAATTTAAATAAATTGAGGTCTTGATTCATACAAAACCTCTTATACTAACATGAGATTCACTAAGATGTGTATGTTTTTTTTTTATATATATATAGGTCTCTCTATCCTGATAATAAGGGTCTTTGATTATACACTTACAGTAAAGCTTGGTTATTAAGAACCCATTTATAAGGAAAACTTGGTGTTAAAGGCAGAGATTTTTTACTGGGTGGTAAATTCCAGGTGAGGGAGGGGCTTACTTTGTACAGATGTGAATGCCTTGAGGGCTAGCAGTCTACCTGTGACCGTTTGTCTCCTAATCCCTATACACAGGAAGTGATTTAATATACAGTAGAATACCGAAGAAGTCAAACTTTATCTGTGTTGGGATTTTGAGATGATTTTAAGTTAGAAATAAAAAAGTTGTAAATAAAGTTTAATCTCAATGATTTTTAGTAATTTGTAATTGTATGTGTCAAAGCATCCCCACCTATTAAAAAAATTATTATTCAAAGTATTTGTTGAGCTTTGAGAAAAAGTTATAACCAAATTTTGATATATATTATTATTATCATAAAGAATATCATAATTATTTCAAATACTAAAGGTGTGTATATATATTATCATAAAGAATATCATAATTATTTTAAATACTAAAGGTGTGTATATATATTATCATAAAGAATATCATAATTATTTTAAATACTAAAGGTGTGTATATATATTATCATAAAGAATATCATAATTATTTTAAATACTAAAGGTGTGTATATATATTATCATAAAGAATATCATAATTATTTTAAATACTAAAGGTGTGTATGTATATTATCAAGCTAAATATTCTATAGTAATACAGCTTCTCTGAATTGTTTATACCATGTGTGGTAAATATCAAAGGATCAAAAGTTAATTTGAAGGTCACCACGAGTGCCAACAAGGTGTACAGGGTATACACAGGGACTAGTAAGTAAATGTCAATCAAGTTCTAGCATCCAATGATGTACCTTAATGCACTTGATTGACAGGGATACACAGATCAGGTATTTTTGAAGGTGGTGCTTAAATTTCTGCCTTTAAGGAAACTTTATGAGTCCCTAGAAGTTACACTATGTTCCTCATACAGACATAAAGAACCTTACTCATAAGGAAGCAAAGTGAAGTCCTCATAACTAAGTTTTAATGTACATGTATTATATTATATATTTTAGGAGTCACAGGTTACCAAAATATTGTTTTAGCCACAACTTCTGTATAGGAAAACATTAGGAGCTTATACTTAATAAGAAGAAAAGTGATTGTGACTGGAGAATTAGTCAAGGTCACAGGTTTTCAAAATTGTTTAAAATTCTTGTCTTGGTCATAACTTTGAAGTTGGGGAATGTTAGAAGACTTTACCTTGCACAGAGATCTATTGTGATCAGAAGGTGTGTAACAATTCTGTACCAAGGTCATTTATACAAGGTCAAGGTCACTTCTTGTCTATACCATTATTTTGTAATGGAATAATTTCAAAGTTTGTACTTGGGTTGATTATGATCATAAGATATGTCAGGACGACCCTGAATAAAGGTCATTTAGACAAGGTCTAAAACTCATGGTTCAGAAGTGTCAAATTCTGAGGGTCTTGGAAATATAAATTCTAAGAGACAAATCTACATGTATGTATTTTAGAAGTATCAGAAAGTCATACTTGACAGAAAGATAGCTTGAGACTACAAGGTCTTTTTGTAGCTCTTTGGTTGAGAAATTTGGACATTCTGTCCGAATTTTCTTAACCAAAGAGCTACAGTTCTGTAGCTATGAGGCCTGTTTGGGGGGATAAGTCAAGATCACATGGTTCAGAAGTTAAGTGTGCCATGATTGTATGCTAGGACTCTGGAAGTTCAAACTCTCATACTTGACACAAAGGTTGCTCACAATGAGAGATGTTATAACCTCTAGTTATTAAATTTTCACAAAATTCAGACTACAGGAATTTGCAGTATCATTTTCTTGGCAAGATTTTTCAAAGCTATTTCATAGGATGCTCTTTCTGTAGGTATTAGTCATCCCATTAGATTTTAAATTTTAATTTAATTTTTTTAAATTTTAAGGTGCCTGAAGTGGACGGCTTGATGATATTATTTTCCCAATGATGACAAGGAATCTGTGCCATTTTGAAAAAAAAAATGATGGCAAAACACTGCTTTGGTATGCAGTGTGTTATGTGCCTCATGTTAAGCAATCTTTGGTGACATTGCAAAAGAACGAAACCAAATAGTGACACATGAAGTTTAGTGAACAAAGGGATATTATAAACATTTGAAGGTGTTCACACATTGAACAGAATCAGGAACTGGGTCAATCGTTTCTCATAAAATTACATTATTTCTAAATGCCCTTATATGAAAGTCAGATTATATATTGTGATTAATGTCATTGCAAGTCTTTTTGTTGGCAATTTTTATGATGGCCAAAACTGCTGTTAGCTTTCAGAGGCCGATGGGCTAAAGTGCTCACCCGAGTCACATTATCTGAAGAATGAATATGTATTGTGGCCACGCATATGTGAATTGCCAAGATTTTGTAATTTTCATGATTAATGATGTTTGCATATTAAAGTTGAAAATCAGAAATTTGAAATGATTTTCTTTTTAGGGAAATTCATATATAATATATTATATGTATTACTGTAGATTGGCAAATAATCATGATGGTTTTAATTTCACTATGTTCGCGATTCATCATTTTTCCACGAAATTAAATCCATCGTGAATGCTATCATTAGTTTTTAAAAACATTTAAATGCTTATACGAAATTTAAATTAATTTCTCACAGCTTGAAATTAAAACCATTGCGATTGGTACTTTTTGAGAAATAGTGAAATTTTAACACCAGGGAATTAAAATGACATACAGTATGCCACAAAACTTTGAAACAGTATTGCAACCATACTATAGCCCCAGGAAGTCATAAATTAATTAAGTCATATCTTACTGCATGTACATTTAAGGTGTGAATAGTGCTGATTGTAAAAATTTAGCCCAACTACTCTTTGGAAGAGCATATTTACATTTTTCATATGCATTCATTAATAAAGGAAAACATGTAAATTTTAAAATTATATGTTATTAACTTTATACATTTAAAAATGTCTGATTCCATAGAAATTGCTCAGAATAGACAACATTCCAGACTGGACAACTTATTAAAATATTGAATTTACTAATAGGGGCTTAAAGTTAACATCATAATAAGCATGATTTTGGAATATACATCCAGATTGGACAAGTTTTACTGTAGTATAAATATACACCAAATGGGATAAGACAGTAGGCTAAGTTTACTTAAGTCCTGATCTCAAAGAGTTACTTTGTATCCCTTTTGAAGCCTTACTCTGGATCATGTGGTGAAGTTGTAAACAAATATGAATGTGTAAGAGAATGTTGGTGTGTTTACATGTACACATACTTGTCCTGTTTTCGTAAGCTTTTACTTGTATATTTGTACATGTATCTTTACTGTGGCACCATTGGACAGCCTAGCTTAAGGTATCCGACCCATAATAGCCTCAGATTCAATGAATCTGAATGTATAACAGATATATATTGGCTGAATACTCAGTATATGTAGACATAATCTTCATGTTTTAGTATCAATATGTAAGAGCGGAATGTATCCTAATTTTTGACCTTGTCCTGTTCTTTAACAGTTATCCCCCTTTGCTTTTAATCAATAAAAATCAATTCTAAAAAAAATCTATCTGGTTAAAATTTAGTTTTCAATCGCTTTTCTATTTCTTATAATTAAATACATCTTTCCACCACAGCATTTTTTGATATTCTTAGTATTTAAATTTTTATTTTCAAAAATTTGCTTGTCCCCATAGACATCAATGCAATCTTCATTAATTAATTACTGCTTAGGTAATCATATTTTTGAAAATTTCTCTTGGTAAATCCTTTACTACTCTAAAATGCTTTGAATTAATATCATAGTATTTAATACAGGATGGATATTTCAGGTTAGAAAATTAGGTCCTAATATGGGTCGGATACCTTAAGGAGTCACTACTAGAGCAACTTAGAGTTAGTCTTCCTGATGAAAAGAACTTCGCTAGTGATGTTTTTTAATTTTTGGTCTCGACTTATCCTCAAGATTTGAGGATGAGGCTCCTTCATATAAATACATGTACCCCATGTAAGTCGATTCAAAACTTAGCCCAAACAAATTTTAATATTATTCTATTAGTTTCCTTGATCTTGCTAAATTGAGCTTGAGTCAATTTTTTCTATTTGTTGACAGTGAAGTATTAGCCTGTAATCTTCGTTTATTACATCCTAGTCAAAATTGTGATAAATGGACAGGCATGGCAACAATACTCGCAATCTAATTATGTTCCCCAAACGAAGTTTGGGAACATATTGTTTTTACTCTGTTTCTTATTAAGTCTTCCGTTCACAACGGAAGACTTATAGTGATTGTATTGTTTCTTTTTATTAAGTCTTCCGTTCACAACGGAAGACTTATAGTGATTGTATTGTTTCTTTTTATTATTATTATTATTATTATTATTCCTCCCAAATTTTGTGAGCGCGATTACTCAGAGATGTTTCGTTAGATTTTGATAATTTTTCACTGGATTATAGGTCGATATGTGAAGTTTATATAAAATTCCGTTTTTTGAAAAATTCACTTCCGGTCCGAAGTTACGGCCGTATTTCAAATTTTAAAATGGAATTTTGTCCGGCGTTTTTCTCAGAAACGGTTTGAGGTAAAGATGTGAAATTTACAGGAGTATTAGATCATGACATTCTCTTTGTTTCGAAGTTGTTTTCGTGTGTTTCCGGTACTTCCTGTCCGAACCGGAAGTGAACTTGTGTTTGGTCAATTTTTAACTTTTTTGTTTTTTAATATTTTATCAAGATATTTTTATGTATAACAGAGATTATTCTACAAATACTAAATATATAATTTGTTTTGAAGTCAGATTCCACATTTTGTAGATTTTCGGTACCGTCATTTTCCCTATTTACCTAGTGTGTATACAGTGGGCAAAGAAAGATAACTCTGACTTGTAAGTGAGAATAGAACTTTCGAGATAAAGGCGGAAATAGTATCGATGACGTTGTCGATGTCTGCATTCTATTTAGAGGTTCCATATTCACTCTCTTCTACATGTAAGAGTACGTTGGTTTCCACATTCAGTGTATGTATAGTATAAAGTTGCCAGTGCAGTGTAAGACTGTACATATTGACAGTTATTGAAGAATGCATATGTATTTACACATGTATATATATATCTAAAATAAACTGATATGTGGCAGCAAGCACATTCAAGTAAATATATATTATAGACAGTATACATTTATAGTGATGGAATGCAATCGGAATACAGTTTTAAAGCTTTAAGATATAAACTGAAACCCGTCACTTAAAATTATGCGAAAAGGCGATTCTTGTGAAATACTAAAAGAGTTAATAAAAGAAGTGAAAAGACGATTGTGTGTGAATTATGCCTCTACTAGATGTTTCCTCTGAAAAAGAATTATTACAGTGAAAAAAAAAATGCACAGGTCAATTGATAGGTCGGTTAAGTATTAAACTATCTGCATTGTACTTCCTTTGAAGCGCCCACCCCTGTCTTGATTTATATTTGGAGAAGGTAGCGCAAATAGGCGGCATTTAAGTTATATATTCATTATAGATTTAAATCCAGAACATTATAGTTACTTCATATTCTATAATGGTAGATTTTTTCTCATAATATGAAATTATGATACTGAAATGTTAAATTTAGAACTCGATCGAGAGAGAGAGAGAGGTTCCCTCTTAATCATTCCTCCTATCCATACATACATACATACATACAGAGCAAAGAAATGTTCTATATCTTTAATAAATGTTTTTTGATTTCAAAGTCAGTCATGATCACAATCTGTTTTTTTTCTGCTTAAAGTATCACACGAAGTGTTCGGTCTGTCAATCAGAATCACTTGACGCTGTATGTACTGCAGTATTCTATATAAAAGTATTTCGCCTACTACCATGTTTAAATGGAAAGTACCTATTACTATAAATAGATTTGCTTGATGCATAATTATGCTGTATTGAATTTTGGAAGCTAACTTTTTGAAATATATGTACAGATACGGAACTGCTTCTACATGTAAATTATAGAAAATATTTCTGGGTAAACCTATGCTCTGATTCGGGCTATAAATTCAAGAGAAATACTTTCAAACTGTATACGAGATATCATCAACATACCTGCACTGCTCTTGCACCTGGTGTGAAGTATTGAATACCATCTGGTTCCAATGAAATGTATCTACTTATTTTCGGGATTCTGTTCATAACTTGAATGAACCACACTTAATACAAAATAAATATGTTATCCTAAGAAAATGAGATAATTGTACAATTTATGGATTTTTTAAAAAAAATTCTAGGCTGAAATTATAAATCAAAATTTATATAAACGAGTTTAATGAAATAATGTCCATAAACTACACCCGTTGATTTATTTCATTTGTATAATGTTTATATTTTGTTTGTATAATTTAGTCTTTAAAAAAAACTTTTTAAAAATACTGCGTTTATGGTACATGAACTTTCGGATCATCGGGTTTTCTGTGTAAAACCAAAAATAATTCTCGGATAAATTTTTATTGAACAAAGAATAGGGTGAAATAATTCTAACATTCTAAACAACGAAATTCACTTGGCGTTATTTTTTCTCGCTATTAAAATCATGTATTAAAGAAAGCAAAAGAGATTGTCTGGTTCCGCCGTGATTACGCAAGATGAGTAAAAAGAAATTTAATTTATAGTATTTACATGTGTAGTATATAGTATTTCATTCAATACTTGACTATATTTTTAAGAAGTCACTGTTATTTGTTGCTTTTTTTAGTCGGATCTTGTTTTTCTCATCTTTAATTGGCTATGAACCTCCACCACACCCCCACCACCCCCCTCCAGGCGAATATGCCTCATACAGGATTAAGACTATCATAATTTACAAGGTTTTAATTAATTTGCCGTTATAGACCTATATTAAATAAGGTTTGTTTTTTTTTTAATAACAGTTAGCATAGACTCTAGTAGCAATAATTTATAATTATTTAGTCCGAAAAGTCTGAATTCACTTTTTTCATATTTATTTATTTATTTATTTTTGTGTTCTTATGTATTTTTGTAATCATTCAATGTTTGCTAATTTATACGAGGTTTTGAGTGTCTGATATATAAATGATAAACAATAGAATGTTAAACGACACTGATTTTCACCGTTTCCTGTCTATAACCAAAAATTAGAACCCCTGTTTCGTATGGTCAGTTCCTTCGAACTCGTATGAAATCCTGTTATGTAAATTTATTTGTAAACTCATAGCAAGTCCTCCTGAACAGATTCCAGACATCTGCAGATTCTGTGGCAAAATCTTTCCAGATATATTTATGCACATCACCTGTTCTTGCTCGCTGACATCGGATTTACGTAATGGCTGGTGGGATGACATTTCCAATAATTTTGATGTCCAGCTCTCTGCAGAAATTTGTGCAATGACAGATGACGAGATATTTCTTTTTCTTCTTGGACGTAATTCTGTTCATTTACTATCTGGAAAAGAT